GAAATTAAAATTTGGTGTGTTTTCTCTTTGTTCAATCTGAAAAATCAAAATTCCTAATAATTTAAAAATCCGTTAGGTTCAGTAAATAAGAAAATCACTTTCCTTTAAAATTTTAGGGAAAAAAATGCTTCTGTTAATGCCCAGGGGGGGTAAGCCAATTTTACCGGGCTTTTTTAAAATTAAATGAAAAAATTTGGTCTGCTGGAAATTGCTCAGGTTGGAAAGGGAAAAATTTCTGGGGGCTTTCCCTAAAAAAGGGTAAAAAACCCCTTTGCGGTAGGGGTTTAGCGGGAAAAGGAATCAAAAGCGGGCCCTTTAAAAATTAGGGGGGTTTAAAAAATCCCCCTTGCTGAAATTTGCCTCAGGGGCCCTGGGGAAATCTAGGGGGGGGGCCCTTTCCAAAAATGGTAAAAAATTTTCTCTGGGGAAATGCTCAGTTTGGTTTAAGAATCAAGCGGGGCATTAAAAAATTTAAGGGGGAAAAATGACCCCTCCTGGTTGCTCAGCTGGCAAAGGCAATCAAGGGCTTTCCCAAATAAAAGGGGGAAAAAAATGTCTGCTTTTATGCTAAACGGGCCTTAGCAATCTAGGGGCAGTTTTCCAAAATTAAGGGTGAAAAAGGGTTTTGCTGTTATGTTTACCCGGGCAAAGGGAAACCCTACCCCGGGGGCTTTCCCAAAAATATAGGGGTAAAATGCTCCGTTGTTTAAAAGGGTCAGCGGGCCAAAAGCAATAAAAACCCCAGGTTTCCTAAAAATTTTTGGGAAAAAAATTTGATTGTTGGTTTAATCCCACGCGGGGCCTGGGCCCCAAATCTAGCGCCCAGGCATCCTAATATATTTGGCTGCTTCCCGAAATATAGGAAATGTTTTGTTAAAAATCCTCTGCCTGTTTATGCTCAGCTGGATAAGCAACTAGGCTTGGCTTTCCCCCAAAATATTATTGTAAAAATCCTCTTGCTTGTTATGCTCAGCTGGCTAAAGCCCCAATCAAAGCAGGGCATTCCTAAATTTTATATTGTAAAAATGATCTGCAAGTAATGCTCAGGCTGGTAGGCAAATCCTAAGCAGCGCATTTCCTATATATAGTTTGTAAAATGTGCTTCTGCTGGTTATGCCTCAGCTGGCTGAATTCAATCTAGCGGGCATTTTCCAAAATATAAGTGTCAAAAATGTGTTCTGCTCTGTTTTTATGTTACAGGGCTGGCCTAAGCCCAATTTCTAGCGGGGCCATTCAAAATATAGTTTTAAAAATTGGCTTCTGCTGTTATGCTCAGCTGCCCTTAAGCAATCTATGCGGGCATTTTCAAAATAAAGTGGTAAAATGCCTCTGCTGAATTTGCTGGTATGCTCATTTTGGATTTTTTAAAATAAAAAGAGGGCTTCCCTAAAAAAAAGTGTGGGAAAGGCCTCTGCGGGGGTTGGGCTAAAGGCCTGGTTTAGCCAAATCAAAGCTGGGGCTTTTAAAAAATTTAAAATTTGTTAAAAATCCCCTCTGTTGTATCCCTTGGGCTGGTTTTACCCAACCCCAACCCGGGGTCATTCTTAAATAAATTTGTGGGAAATGCTCGGGTTGGTATCCCGGGCGGGCCCAAAGAAATTTAGCAGAGCTTTTCCATATTTAAGGGAAAAAATAAATTTTTCCGGGAAAAGTTGGTTTGGCTAACCCAAATTTTATTTGGGGGCTTTCCCAAAATATAGGGGGTTAAAATCCCTCTACGGGGGTTGCTCAGGTTGCCCCTAAGGGCAATCCAGCAGGGCTTTCCTAAATATTAAAGTGTTAAAAAAATTCCCAGCTTGGGTCAAGTCAATCCAGCAGAGCATTTTAAAAATTATTGTAAAAATGTTCTGCTGCGGAATGGCTGAGCTGTCAAGTGCAAACTAGCAGGGTTAATTCTTAAATAAAGTATTTTTTTTTCTGCTGCAATGCCGAACTGGCAGAGCAATCTAGCAGGGCATTCCTAAATACAGAGTAAATATTTTCCTCCTTTTACTCCTTATACATCCACTTGTTATCCTTATGCCTCTGAAATTTTTATTTTTTGTTGCGAGATCTATTTCACTGGTCTTTGTCTGCGCCTTTGGACTGACATCCTCGAGACTTCCAGGAATGTTGGTACAAATAGATTGATAGCTTATTTTGGGTTCTTTTTAGTTAACTCGGGAGTTTATTTTCGTTGGTCGCAAACTGATTATTTGGCACTCGTAGACTACTTTTGAAATATTTAGTGCCAATGCAGATTATTGAAGATATTTTTTTACTTCTATGGGACTCTCCCAAGTGTAAGTGTCTATTTCTTATTGGTCTGCGACTGATTCCGTGGAGAATCGCAGACTTTCCCAGGAATTTTTGGTGTTAATGCAGATAATGACCCCCATTTGTGAAATTCTAAAGGACCATTTCATGGTCCCCCATTTCGTTTGTCTGCCGTCGTGTTTCTAGAACACTCGCAGACGTTCAAAAATTTTCGGATGCCAATGGAGATAATTAGACATTTTTACTTCCAAAAGGACCCTCCTGAGTCTATTTATTCTGTGTCACTCGCGGACTTTTCAGGAATTTTTAGTGTCAATGCAGATAATGATATTTTTGACTTTTTGTGACCTTCCTGAGTCCATTTTTTTTGTCTGCGACTGATTCTTAGGCACTCACAGACTTTCAGGAATTTTTATGTGAAGGCAGATAATTATATTTTTTACTTTTTTACTTCTAGGGTCCATTTTTTGGTCTGCAACTTATTTTTGGACAGTCGCGGACTTTCAGGAATTTTTGGTGCCAATAGAGGTAATTATATTTTTGACATCTTTTGACCATCCAGAGTCTATTTTGTTGGTCTGCGACTGATTATTGGGCACTTGCAGACTTTCAGGAGTTTTTGGTTCTAATGCAGATAATGACATTTTAGAGTGAAAATGCTTTGCTTCTGACTAAGGGGTCCTTAAAATTAAAAAATGACATGATCTGCAATGGCACCAAACATCCTGAAAGTCTGCGAGTCTTTAAAATCAGTCGCAGACCAAAGAAATGTACTCTGGCGGTTCCCTAGAAGTCAGAAATGTCATTATCTCTGTTGGCATTTAAAATTCCTGAAAGTCTGCAAGTGTCCCAAAATCAGTCGCAGACCAGCGAAATGAACTCTGGTTGGTCGCTAGAAGTAAAAAATGGCATTATCTCTATTGGCACCACAGATTCCAGAAAGTCTGCGAGTGTCCCAGAATCAGTCCAAGACCAGAAAAATGGCGGGTCCCTGCCATCATCTATATTGGCTACAAACTTTCCAGAAAGTCTGCGAGTGTCCAACAAAACGCCGGAGGCCAATGAAATGGACTCTTTATAGGTCCCTAGAAGTCAAAAATATGATTATTTCCATTGGCACCAACCATTCCTGAAAGTCTGCGTGTGTCCCAGAATCAGTCGCAGACCAACAAAATGGAATCTTAAAGGTCCCTAGAAGTCTAAATTGTTAATATCAGCATTGGCATCAAAATTCGTGAAAGTCTGCGAGTGTCCATCAGAAAGTCGCAGGACAATGAAATACCCCTTTTTAAATCTTAAAAATCAAAAAATTTAAAATTTCTATGGCAAAAAAATTCCCCTGAAAGTCTGCAAGTCCCTGGAAGTCCCAAAATCAAAAGTCAATAAAACGTTGGAAAAATAAACCTGGAATCAAAGCAGTCTGTCAGTGCCCATTCACCAACCCAAATTAAACATTTTTTCAGAATGCACCGGAAGATTGTTATCCAAACCACATTTTCACATTTTTTTTTTAAAAATGTCGTTGGGTTTGCCTATCAACTCGGAATATAACGAGTTTTAGTATTTAATAAAAAAATGTCCCCTTATTGTTTCCAGGGGACATTGCAGAGTTTTTTACATATAATTGTTTTTAGGAATGCACTGCTAGATTGCCTAGTCAGCTTAGCATTCCATCAGAGCAGTTTAACACTATAGTTAGGAATACCCTGCTAGATTGCTTAGCCAGGTGAGCATTCCAGCAGAGCATTTTTCCACTATATTTAGGATTCCCTGCTATATTGTCTAGCCAGCTTAGCATTCCAGCAGAGCATTTGTACACTATATTTAGTAATGTCCTGCTAGTTTGCCAAGACAGCTGAGTATTGCAGCAGAGCAATTTTACACTTTATCTTGGAATGCCCTGCTAGATTGCTTAGTCAGCTTAGCATTTCAGCAGAGCATATTTACACTATATTTAGTAATGCCCTGCTAGATTGCTTGGCCAGATTAGCATTCCTCAAGAGCATTTTCCGTTGAGAGTACTGATAATGAGATATTTGAATAATAGTTTACAATGGCAAGCCTCGTTTCCGCCAAATGGGCGGGTTTCCTCGGGACGTATATTCCGATCCGAACCACAACATACGACATATGAGCCGCGTCATGACAAAATCAGCGTAATGCGTTTGCGACCAACATGGATCCAGACCAGCTTGCGCATCCGCGCAGTCTGATCAGGATCCATGCTGTTCGCTATCAGTTTCTTTATTTGTAAAAGAGTTTGTTAGCGAACAGCATGGATCCTGATCAGACTGCGCGGATGCTCAGGCTGGTCTGGATCCATGCTGGTCGCAAACGCATAACGTTGGTTTTGTCGTGACGCGGCTCATATATTATTATTAATCGACGTCATCAGGTGGGGTTTTGGGAACGAAACATTTCTTTTATTAAATGACATAAATTTCAGTCAACAGTCAGAATTCAAGTACTAACGCATTTAGTGTTTTTTCAGTTTCCGAGTTATAACCCTGTAATCAACGTGAGTCAGCCATATCACCATTGTTTACATTTACAATTATTAGCCAGTTGCTTTCCCATATACAAATATTTACAAAATATTAAGTCTGATCAATTGGGTAAGAAAATTTGTCTTATGCTTTCAATTTGAAAGCATATTTTCAGCAATGATTTGAAGTGAGATGTACTGTATTGTCACGTGTTTCTTGCGTCAGCTTACAGTAAAAGTAAGAAAACAACAACAAAAATCATATTACTATTGTTACCTTTATTGCGTTCATTTCCCAAAATAAATAGGTAAATAAAATGCTAAAAACAAACTGTTGAAAGAGTTGAATAGTTCCCACAAAATATAATAATAAATAACCATTACTACATGTAGTACAAGTGAATGAATGATTTGAAAGTAATATTTAACAAAATAAAACAAAAAAACAACACACGCACGCACACACGCACGCAACATATAATATATACCCTTCATTGTAAACATAAACCCGCTATAATAACTTTTTACTTTATAATTCTATGACAAATCAGTGATAAGAAAACCTTTGACAAACCCTCATTAAAGCTGTTAAAGTAATAGTAATAAAGCAATAGAAGATGTAAAACGTGTCATTGGCCATGTCAGTTCCGTTATCAAAGTATCATCTTTTTAGAGCACCATTGAATACTCTGAGCTCCCTCTTCTTCCATACAAATAGGCCGCGAAAACATTATCGTCTGCGTGGGTTAGGAGATGGTGTCCAACACTAGGAGAGGAATATAGTATTGTGTATGTTCCATAACCAGGTACCGTGACTGATACAGTTTGTGTAACGTCTAGCACCATGCCATCCAGTAACAATCCAGAGGGGTCCAATGTTGATGCAATAATTATATGCAGTATGGTCACAATGAAATTATCCGGGACATGAAAGTCGTACGCCGAAACATAACGTTCAGTTGACAGGACTTGCATCAAAGAAGAATCTCTGTTAAAAGCAGACGTGTAAGAATCCCCATACTGGACAACAAGTATATTTTTCGTTGAGATTACAGACAACGCGATATTTATAGAATAATATGTATCAACACTGTCGCCTCTGGGCAATCCATTATATGCATTAACCACGTTACCATTCTCGTCATAAATAGTGACATCAGTTTGGTCGAAAGGTATAACAATTCTCAGGTAAAAGGGTAGGAATGGCTTCATGTATCCAAGAATGTGAATACTTCCAAGAGCAGTTACCGGGGGTATTTGCTCTGACATAAGGTCGCAATAGCTATTACTGGCTACGAAACATTCATGACCAGACTTAACTGCAATCGGCTCGTTTGAAGTGACAATCGTACCTGAAATTCCAAGTCTTCTTTTTCTGAATGTTTCCATTCTATTTAATGAAATTGTTTCTTGTGTGTTGTCTGGGTATTGTATATTTATAATTGTACCATCTTTCAATGATACTAACAGAAAATGCTCGGATGAGGATGGCTGTAATTTGCCCCCTGTGCGGTCCCCTGGTAATATGTATTCTTGTCCCAAATCCTCATCCGACAAGACACGCCCCCCATCATTAGTACCGTATTTGAAATTTAGCCAGTAGACAGTTATTGGATTATCCGATTTTATATAAACGGCCTTGTTTGTTACGACTCCATGATTTTTCACTTGAATGATTGGAGAAAACGAGATTACTGTAGAATTCCTAATTTCATACGGTTCATCAAATATAGATAAAAAAGGAACCGTTATGTTAACCATTGCACACGGACTTTGAATGAACACATACTGGAATCTTATATTAAGGGACACGGAGTACAAAAATCCTGTATGAAAAGAGGTTCCTGTACGACTTGCTCCTGAAAGAATTATGTAAATTTGGGTAAATATTGTTATAGTGACATTCAAACATATTGGTAATGTCACAATTGTAAATTCGCACGAGACACCGCTTGGTACTTTTATTTTCGGTTTGATAACAACGATGTTGTTCTTTTTGTGGTAATTGTGTTATATTTAATCTTTTTTTTATTTATAAAATACCAGTTCTGTAATTCAATACAGCATTATATCAATTATTCAACCTCAAACTTTTACTATTATTTAATTTTTGAAATGAAACATATATATGTACTTACGTGATAGTATTGGTTCACAACTTTGACCTACTTCAGTGTAACATTCTGCGCATGCGCAAGTCCCGTTCAGGCAGCCACATCGGGTACCATCACATGGTGGTGAGACTGGGTCCCAGCAGTCTGAATTATTTGTACACGTACTTCCCATATTGTTTGCTGAAGTAATAAGTGATTTGAACAAATTCGTTCTAATATGACCGCAATTTAAGAGACATTAAAACATTTGGTGCAGTCTTGAATCAGATATTATACTTCAATATGGCGGGGCCGAGTGGTTAACTCGTCGGACTAGTAATCTAAGGATTGCTGACCGCGTGGGTTCAAACCCTGTCAGGGGCAAACCGTTTACTTGAGCAAGAAACTTTACATTCATTGCTTAGTACTGCATGGTGGATTCGAGAGTGTTTCAATAAGTTTATACCTTCCTACTCTCGAACTGAAATAAATTTGTATTAACTAATACACAATTCTATAAGACAATCCAACGTTACTTCACTATAAAAACTGTTGTTATATTTATGTTGATTAATACAAAAGAACAAACTTTTTCCCGATGAATTACTTAAAGAGAGAAAAATGTTTTATTTCTCCCTTAAATATATAATATAAACATAATTATATTCATTTCTTGTAGTAAAAAAATACATTTACTTGGAGAGCACTTTTTAGGTACTTTACAATCAGTAAACATTCGTTGGCAGGCCTCGTACAAGTTGCAATCCTGTAAAAATACGGAAATGATTTTTGTTGATAACTGTTTAATTATTCTTCAATTTAGGAACGTCATTCACCCTATGTAAAATGGAAATTTGCAAATTTTTTTTGTAAACGGAATGCTTACAGATCTACTGTAAAACATGTACAATAAACAAATGCAGGCATAGTCATTTCATACTTTGTGTAATTTTGTGAAATTGACTAAATTCACAAAATTGATATTATTCTTCTTACAAGTTTGCAAGAAAAAGAATTTTTAAAAGTTTCATTTGGAACAAAAACAAATATTTTCAAGTTTAATTTAACTAAATTTAATTAATCAACTTACAGTATCATCAGAACAAAACAAACTTTTCCCAATTGATGCCCTGCTAAACCATTTTGCCTTTTTAGATTGACTGCTAGCGGTAAACGTTACTAAGCATATAACAATCTGAAATTAATTATTGCAATAATTTATTGATTTTATTTCGGTATAGAACGCATGTGCATGGACATTTTAAATAACATGTACGGTACAAATATTTAACATACATGAGAATAAATAAGCCATGGCATGCACATCAACACCAAGGATAACACAAAAGTATGGAACGCCATGACTGTCTTATGTAATCAATGGTTTTGTTATCTTGTGAAACGATGATATTATTTTGTCGTTTGAGCATGTTAACATGTGCAATTTACGTCATGTCTTGTCAAAGGAACATGCTGACTTGTACAAATTATCATGATGACATGTGCAGATAACATGCTAACTTGTCAAAGTATTGTGATGACTTGTGCAAACAACATGTTAACTTGTCAAAGTATAATGATGACTTGTGCAAATGACATGGTAACTTGTCAAAACGTAATGAAGACTTGTGCAAAAGACATGGAAACTTGTCGAATTATCGTAATGACTTGTGCAAACAGCATGTTAACTTGTCAAAGTGTCATGATGACTTGTGCAAACGTCATGTTAACTTGTCAAAGTATAATGATGACTTGTGCAAACGACACGTTAACATGTCGAATTATTGTTATGACATGTGCAAACAGCATGTTAACTTGTCAAAGTATCATGATGACTTGTGCAAACAGCATGTTAACATGTCAAATTACCATGATGACTTGTGAAGACAACATGTGAACTTGTCAAAGAATCGTGATGACTTGTGCAATGACATATGTTATCTTGTATCATGCTGACATGTCAAAACGTACTGTTTACTTGTCAAAGTATCATGATAACTGCCATGCTAACATGTCAAAATTCCATGATGACATGTGCAAACAGCATGTAAACTTGTCGTATTATCGTGATGACATGTGCATTCAGCATGTTAACTTGTCCAAGTATCATGATGACTTGTGCAAACGACATGTTAACTTGTAAAAGTATAATGATGACTTGTGCATATGCCATGCTAACTTGTCAAAATTTCATGATATCATGCGCAAACAGTATGTTAACTTGTCAAATTATCGCGATAACATGTGCAAACGACATGTTAACTTGTCCAAGTATCATGGTGACTTGTTAAAGCGAGATGTTAACTTGTCAAAATTTCACGATGACATGTGCAAACAACATGTTAATTTGTCAAAGTATCGTGATGACTTGTGCAAATGCCATGTTAACATGTCAAATTATCATGATGACGTGTGCAGACAACATGCTAATTGTCAAAATTTCATGAGGACATGTGCAAACAACATGTTAACTTGTCAAAGTATCGTGATGACTTGTGCAAAACACATGTTAGCTTGTCAAAGTATTATGAGCATGTCATCACGATAATTCGACAAGTTAACATGCTGTTTGCACATGTCATCATGAAATTTTGACAAGTTAACATGTTGTCTGCACAAGTCATCATGATAATTTGACAAGTTAACATGTCGTTTGCACAAGTCATCATGATACTTTGACAAGTTAAGATGTTGTCTGTATATGTCATAATGATTATTTGACAAGTTAACATGCTGTTTGAACAAGTCAGCATTGTCTTTTGACAAAATATGATACAAATTGCACATGTGAATATGCTTAAATGACAAAATAATATCATCATTTCACAAGATAGCAAAAACATTGATAGCACAAGACAGTCACGGCGTTCCATACAAAATGAAGACATTTATTTCCATTGTGGCCCCCCTGTGTTGGCGGAATGACAGAGAGCCTTTATCAACTGTACATATATACTTTAATTAAATATTATCACAGTTGGATTAAAATAATTTTATTACAACATTGCAACACATTATTCAAGTTAAAACAGAATACATATACTATAAGCAAATGATATTATTAATAAGCATTAGATATTTTAGACGTAATCACCCTTACTTATGTAAATAGGAAAAAAGAACACTGTTTCAAATAATTTAAAATCCAGCACGAAACCGCACAGAAAAAAGGTATCCATTAAAATCGGAAAACAACTAAACAGCTGATTGAATCTGCAGAAGACAAAACTTGTTTGCTTACATTTTCTTTCCTATCAAAATATGATTTTTTTTCATTTCATTACAGTATTTAAATAATGTTTAGCATTGTTAATGTACGAGCTTTTGTCTTAACTGTTGGGTAAAAAAGGAAAATGAAAAAAAAAACTTAACACGAGATCACACGCTTGATATATCAGCAACCCGAGATCATACGCTTTATATATCAGCAACCCGAGATCAGACGCTTGATATATCAGCAAAACGAGATCAGACGCTTGATATATCAGCGACCGAGATCAGACGCTTGATATATCAGCAACCGAGATCAGACACTTGATATATCAGCAAAACGAGATCAGACGCTTGATATATCAGCGACCGAGATCAGACGCTTGATATATCAGCAACCGAGATTAGACGCTTGATATATCAGCAACACGAAATCAGACGCTTGATATATCAACACCATGCCAGAAACTAAGCTATATGAGAGCAATTGTATTTTTTGTCATAATAAAATTCATTCAAATATTTAACAGACGTTCAGCAGACGACAATTTTTCAAGCACTAGCACGCAAAGTCAATTTTTTGAGAGAGCAGATACATTATTATACGTACGGACATATTCATTGCAATGCAAAAGTCAAGTGAATACTTAATTCCAGTTATTTGTGAAAAAAATAAATATAATTTTCTACTGATTAAAGGCTCATTTTGCCTCAGAAATGCTATCATTTTTATATTTCAAAAACTGTTTATGTTTTGTATCTTGTTACAATTTCCAAAACTACGAGTATACTCATTTGCTACATTCACAAGCTTTCTTTGCATCTTTAGCTCTGTTGGTAATTTGTGTATTTTACTGAATTAGTATTTTGTATTGATGTCAAAATAATACTTTGTTTACATTTTGCTAACGTTCCTTTACGACACATTACTTTATGTTCAGAGCTACTTTTACAGATTTAAAACATCTAATAATATTATACTTTTAATCTATAATTTAAACATTATTAAACACACGTTTGACATTTCTAGATAGTTAAAAAGATATGGATTTCTGAGGCATAATGTGCCTTTAAACCTTATCATATTTATACAAATTGTCGTAAAATGTTAAGATAACAAATTAACTATGTTTGAAAGGATGAAATAAACTTAATCTTACCAACAAGAATCCCAAAAATTCCTTCATGTCGTCAGCTTGTATTTTATTTCCTATCTCCAAATGAAGTAGCAAAATAAAAGGACGAAAATGATTGTAATCGTGTATTTATGCTGTTATCTTGTATACACCTTTATCAATTTAGATCCAATAATAACGATAGTGGCGTTATAACTTAAACCCCTCCCCTTCATTTTTTTAATAGATCAATTATTTGTCTAGATAGCATTCAACATATTGATCTGAGCACTGACGTAGCTTCTTGAAGGCCGTGTAGGCCGCGGCCTTCAATTTTCTCCAGAGCCAAAAACCTCCCCATTCAGCCTACACATTAATCTAAACCAAGCTACGTCCCTGACCACATCCTGGTGCAGTAGCATTGTAAATAAAGGCTCTTAAGCGTTTCAAATTACGTTTTAGAAATTATATATAGCGATTTAAGCAGTGTCAACTAAATTAAAGTTGGGATTCTCAATTAAATTGGCAGTAGCAGTAGCAAAATTTTTAAAACGTGAAATTGGCAGTAGCAGTAGCAACATTTTAAAAACGTGAAATTGGCAGTAGCAGTAGCTCAGCAGTAGCAGTAGCAAAATTATAAAATGTAAAATTGGCAGTAGCTCAGCAGTAGCAGTAGCAAAATTATAAAACGTGAAATTGGCAGTAGCAGTATATCAGCAGTAGCAGTAGCAAAATTATAAAAACGTGAAATTGGCAGTAGCAGTAGCTCAGCAGTAGCAGTAGCAAAATTATAAAACGTGAAATTGGCAGTAGCACAGCAGTAGCAGTAGCAAAATTGTAAAACGTCAAATTGGCAGTAGCAGTAGCTCAGCAGTAGCAGTAGCAAAATTATAAAACGTGAAATTGGCAGTAGCAGTAGCAAAATTATAAAACGTAAAAATGGCAGAAGCATTAGCGTAGCAGTAGCAAAATTATAAAACATGAAATTGGCAGTAGCAGTAGATCAGCAGTGGAAAACTCATAAAACGTGAAATTGGCAGTAGCAGTAGCTCAGCAGTAGCAGTAGCAAAATTATAAAACTTGAAATTGGCAGTAGCAGTAGCAAAATTATAAAACGTGAAATTGGCGGCAGTAGCAGTAGCTCAGCAGTAGCAGTAGCAATATAATAAAACGTGAATTGGCAGTAGCAGTAGATCAGTAGTGGCAAAATTATAAAACGTGAAATTGGCAGTAGCAGTAGCACAGCAGTGCAAAATTATAAAACGTGAAATTGACAGTAGCAGTAGCCCAGCAGTATCAGTAGCAAAATTATAAAACGTGAAAATGGCAGTAGCAGTAGCACAGCAGTAGCAAAATTATAAAACGCGAAATTGGCAGTAGCAGTAGCTCAACAATAGCAGTAGCAAAATTATAAAACGTGGAATTGGCAGTAGCAGTAGCAGTAGCAAAACCTACCACTATGCCAGGCGCCAGGCGGATAGAAATCGGTAACCATTCATTTTAACTACCTCGCGGCTCACGAAGCGGCCATTTCGGAACTAGTCCCACGAGAAACATTCATATATTAAATATATACTTCTTCTAATCAATTTATGCTACGATTTGCAAAATGTTATTAACAAAACTGGCTTCATAAAATGTTGATTCCCGCCAAATGTCGTTTTAAAAATAAAAAAGATTAAGTATTTCTAATTACTCTAACTAGCATACAATATTTCATATACAATGTACCATGCTGCCTCCGAAAGTCACAGATACAGTTCCGTGTATGGCATAACCAATCTGAGTATAGAGACATCTTTATGTCCCTGAAGTACGCGGGGTAACGGGCTAGCAGTTTAGCGGGATAACAGTGTGTAGCAATCTAGCGGGATAACAGTGTGAACTGGGTGGGCTAGCAGTCTAGCGGGCTAACAGTGTGAACTGGGCGGGCTAGCAGTCTAGCGGTCTAGCAGTGTGAACTGGGCGGGCTGGCGGGTCAGCGGGCTAAACTCTTAAACTTAATTGAATCCACATTAAAACCTCATAATACATTTCCTAGCTGTGTGAAGTGGGCGGGCTGACAGTGTAGCGGTATAGCAGTGTGAACAGGGCGGGCTGGCGGGACAGCGGGCTAAACTCTAAAACTTAACTGTCTCAACATGAAAACGTTATGATACATTACCTGGCAGTGTGAAGTGGGCGGGCTAACAGTGTAGCGGGCTAGCACTATGAACTGGGCGGGCTAGCGGGCCAGCGGGCTAAACTTTAATACTAAATTGAATCCACATTAAAACCTCATGATACATTTCCTAGCAGTGTTAAGTGGGAGAGCTAATAGTGTAGCGGGAAAGCAGTGTGAACTGGGCGGGCTGGCGGGAGCTAAACTCTAAAACTTAACTGATTCAACATGAAAACGTTATAATATATTACCTGACAGTGTGAAGTGGGCGGGCTAACACTGAAGCGGGCTAGCAGTGTGAACTGGGCGCGGGCTGGCGGGCCAGCGGAATAAACTTTAACACTTAATGGAATCAATATCAAAACCTCATGATACATTTCCTAGCAGAGTGAAGTTGGCGGGCTAACAGTGTAGCGGGTTAGCAGTGTGAACTGAGCGGGATGGCGAGCCAGCGGATTTAACTTTAATACTGAATTGAATCAACATTAAAACCTCATGATACATTTCCTAGCAGTGTGACATGGGCAGGCTGACAGTGTAGCGGACTAGCAGTGTGAACTGGGCGGGATGGCGGGCCAGCGGATTTAACTGCAAAACTTAACTGATTCAACATGAAAACGTTATGATACATTTCCTAGCAGTGTGAAGTGGGCGGCCTTACAGTGTAGCGGGTCAGCAATGTGAAATAGGCGGGCTGGCGGGTCAGCGGGCTAAACTTTAATACTTAATGGAATCCAAATTAAAACCTCATGATACATTTCCTAGCAGTGTGAAGTTGGCGGGCTGACAGTGTAGCGAGCTAGCAGTTTGAACATGGCGGGCTGGCGGGCCAGCTGGCTAAACTCTAAAACTAAACTGATTGAACATGAAAACGTTATGATACATTTCCTAGCGGTGTAAAGTGGGCGGGCTAACAGTGTAGCGGGCCTGCATTGTGAACTGGGCGGGCTGGCGGGCCAGCGGGATAAACGTTAATACTTAATTGAATCCACATTAAAACCTCATGATGCATTACCTAGCAGTGTGAAGTAGCGGGCTAACAGTGTAGCGGGCTAGCAGTTTGAACTTGGCGGGATGGCGGGCAAGTGGGCTTAACTTTAAAACTTAGCTGATTGAACATGAAAATGTTATGATACATTACCTGTCAGTGTGAAGTGGGCGGGCTAACAGTGTAGCGGGCTAGCAGTGTGAACTGAGCGGGCTGGCGGGCCAGCGGGTTAAACTTTTAAATTAATACTTAATTGAATCAACATGAAAACGTTATGGTACATTTCCTAGCAGTGTGAAGTGGGCGGGCTGACAGTGGAGTAGGCTAGCAGTGTGAACTGGGCGGGCTGGCGGGCTAGCGGGCTAAACTTTAATTCTTAATTGAATCTACATTTAAACCTCATGATACATTTCTTAGCAGTGTGAAGTGGGCGGGCTAACAGTGTAGCGGGCTAGCAGTGTGAACTGGGCGGGCTGGCGGGCCAGCGGGCTCAACTCTTAAACTTAACTGATTCAACATGAAAACGTTATGATACATTACCTGGCAGTGTGAAGTGGGCGGGCTAACAGTGTAACGGGCTAGCAGTGTGAACTGAGCGAGCTGGCGGGCCAGCAGGCTATACTTTAATACTTAATTGAATGAACATGAAAACGTTATGATACATTTCCTATCGGTGTGAAGTGGGCGGGCTAACAGTGTAGAGGGCTAGCAGTGTGAACTAGGCGGGCTGGCGTGCCAGCGGGATAAAATCTAAAACTTAACTGATTCAACATGAAAAGGTTATGATACATTACCTGGCAGTGTGACGTGGGCGGGCTAACAGTGTAGCGGGCTAGCAGTGTGAACTGGGCGGGCTGGCGGACCAGCCGGTTAAACTTTAATACTTTATTGAATCAACATGAAAATATTATGAAACATTTCCTAGCAGTGTGAAGTGGTTGGGCTAACAGTGTAGCGGTTAAGCAGTGTGATCTGGGCGGGCTGGCGGGCCAGCGGGCTATACTTTAATACTTAATTGAATCCACATTAAAACCTCATGATACATTTCCCAGCAGTGTGAAGTGGGCGGGTTAACAGTGTAGCGGGATAGCAGTGTGAACTGAGCGGCCTGGCGAGCCAGCGAGCTAGACTCTAAAACTTAACTGATTGAACATGAAAACTTTATGATACATTTCCTAGCGGTGTGAAGTGGGCGGGCTAACAGTGTAGCGGAATAACAGTATGAAATGGGCTTGCTGGCGAGCGGGCCAGCGAGATAAATTTTAATACTTAATTGAATGAACATGAAACGTTATGAAACATTTCCTAGGAGTGCGAAGTGGGTGGACTAACAGCAGTGTGAACTTGACGGGCTGGCGGACCAGCGGGCTAAACGTTAATACTTAATTGAATAAACATTAAAACCTTATGATACATTTCCAAGCAGTGTAAGCTCGGCGAGCTTACAGTGTAGCGGGCTAGCGGTACAAATTCAGCGTGCTAGCAGTCTAGTCGTCTAAATTCCATACTTTATTATTTTAACACTAATTTAAAAACGTTATGATGCATTTGCTAGCAGTGTGAACTCGGCGGGCTAACAATGCTTGTTTCATGTGGTATACACGATCCTTGAGATTTGCCAATGTTTTAAAATCAGCATTGCCTCTACACTGTTACCCCGCCCACTTTACACTGCTATGATATGTATCTTAACGTTTTCACGTTGAATCAGTTAAGTTTTAGAGTTTAGCTCGCTTGCCCGCCAGCCCGCCCAGTTCACACTGCTAGCCCGCTACACTGTCATCCCGCCCACTTCACACTGCTAGGAAATGTATCATGAGTTTTTAATGTTGATTCAATTTAGTATAAAAGTTAAGTCCGCTGGCCCGCCAAGTTCACACTGCCTACCGCTACACTGTTAGCCCGCCCATTTCACACTGCTAGGAAATGTATCATGAGGTTTAAATGTGGATTCAATTAAGTATTAAAGTTTATCCCGCTGGTCCGCCAGCCCGCCTAGTTCACACTGCAGGCCCGCTACACTGTTAGCCCGCCAACTTCACACTGCCAGGTAATGTATCATAACGTTTTCATGTTCAATAAGTTAAATTTTAGAGTTTAGTCCGCGGTCCCGCCAGCCCGCCCAGTTCACACTGCTAGCCCGCTACACTGTTAGCCCGCCCACTTCACACTGTCAGGTAATATATCATAACGTTTTCATGTTCAATCAGTTAAGTTTTAGAGTTTAGCTCCCACTGGCCCGCCAGCCCGCCCATTTTACACTGCTAGCCCTCTACACTGTAAGCCCGCCCACTTCACACTGCTAGAAAAATTAATGTATCATGAGGTTTTAATGTGGATTCAATTAAGTATTAAAGTTTAGCCCGCTGGCCCGGCAGTCCGCCCAGTTCACACTGCAGGTCCGCTACACTGTTAGCACAGCTAGGAAATGTATCATAACGTTTTCATGCTCATTCAGTTAAGTAATAACGTTTAGCCATCTGGCCCGCAAGCCCGCTCAGTTCACACTGCTTTACGCTACACTGTTAGACCGCCCACTTCACACTGCTAGGATATGTATCATAACGTTTTCATGTTGAATCATTTAAGTTTAGCCCGCTGGACCGCAAGCCCGCCCAGTCCACACTGCTAGACTGCTAGCCCGCACAGGTCACACTTTTAAACCGCTAGACTGCTAGCCCGCCCAGTTCACACTGGTCACCCGCTAGACTGCTTGCCCGCCCAGTTCACACTGTTAACCCGCTAGACTGCTACCCCGCTCAGTTCACAATGTTATTCCGCTAGTCTGCTAGCCCGTTACCCTGCGTACTTCACAGCCATACATATAATTACGTTGCTCAATGACATGAAATATACAAATATTGACATTTTAAAAATCAATCTTACAATTCTTTAAAAAAGTATTTATAATCCCGATGGATAAGTCATTGAAATTAGCGATACTTTACTTTTGTTCTAAGTGTCAAGCGTTGCTTTTTTATGATAAATATATCATGAATGATATTTGAAATGACAACTTTAAATTACATGTATTTGGTTGTTTATATCTTATGAAACCTATTCTATTTTATTAATTTATTTAATTATAAACAATTTCTCTTTGTTTTTTGTAAGAATCACGCACGTGACTACATGGTATATGTTATTGTTATAAAATCTATTTACAGTAACAGATTGGTGAAAAGACATACAGGTAACTAGTGAATGATATGGCGGCTGATAATATGCAAATCATAGTAAGTTTGTATAAATAATTTCAAAGTTGTTTTTCATTAATCAGTTTCATATTTTATATCATTTGACATGTTTGAATACTTATATTTTACACATTGAAAATAAATTTTTAAAACCTTTTAAATTTTTCTTGGTAAAGGATTAAACTTGGCCCTTTCTGTCAAACTTCTGACAAGAACGTCCAAAAGTTTAGTTTAGGAATAAATTTATGCTCAAGAGGCACGTTTATTGAAAAAATAGTGGTAATTGTCGTCCGTCGATTTCCGTCGCGCAGGTTTCCAGAACGGTATGACGGTAGGGTGACAGTCCTTGGATCAGAAATCGTATTAGATTCATAGAGAAAATTAATAAAATATCTTTGTGTTGATATTTTATCGCAATGAAAGGCAATTTAACGTTAACTATATCGTATGTAACGACGGGAATATTGATTTCAACTAAATCATATTTTTTTTTTCGATAATGCATAAAAGATATTTTTTATGCATCCACTTTGCACTTTACGGAATAATTGCATTGTTTTATGCAATGATTAAAACATTTATATTTAATAGTCACTTTGCAAATATTCGATGACCGGTAATTATTTGTCGGTAATTATAGGATTCTGAAGTAAACCATACGGATTTCGATGTATGGTACAACGGTATATGTATAAGGTAGAATTACAAGTAGAATTACAAGCATACAAAATTAATCAAAATAATGAAATTAAAAAATGATAGAATGAAACACATGATTAATCAACTTATGTTTGATATTGTTAAAAGAAATAATAAAAAATATATTCATGAAAACTACAAAAAGGAATTGTCCAAGACTTAAACTTGCGCCTTCTAGGTCACAAGTTCGTCATGCTTACCACTAGGCCATCGGGCAGTGTTAATTGATTTAATATCGAGATCTATACTATCAATAAAATCTTAAACATTAATCATAATAATTTACGGAAACTAACGAAACACCTCCGAAAAGTAATAAGTCTCAAGTCAATATTGCCAAACAATACTTGCTTTTCAATAATGATAGCAGTTTCTTGACAATATTGCTAAGAAAGTTTTGCTTCAGATATGATGTTTTAATGTAAATTAACAGTCACTCAACATATTGTTCCTCTTACCATTAACCAAACTGATATTTTCTTATATTTATGATAATACAATAATTTTTCTATCCGGCGACGCTGGTTCTTGTTGCTGGGTCATCATGTACTTCTATTACATTAGTTTTTTCATCATCATATCTAAACAGCGTGGGATCATGCAGAATTCATTTTTCATCGATTCTGAATAAGTTTCTTGTCATTTTGCAGCATATGTTGTTTAACTTCAAATACATCGACCGGAGTATGTTACTTGTGTTTTGCTTTTTCTGGGAAGAGCGCAACATACGTTGTTTACCTTCAAGTGCATCAACATGAGTGTACTTGTGTTTTGCTTTTTCTGGGAAATGCGCAGCATACGTTGTTTATTTGAAAAATACATAAAGTGCATGCAATACATAAAGTGCATGCATTGAATATCATATATGTGCAATTACGACTCACAAAATAAGCTACCCTTGTTTTTATACATATACATTCACATCTAAAAGGAGCTCCACTGAGCTAAAAAAGCATAAACCCTAAAACTTGAAGTTTTACACATATATAGTGAAGCCATCAAAATCTCAACAAAAATCCTAAAGTAATATACTCATAATTAGATAGAAAATCATTAGAGCAACGCTTTTCATTTTTTGATCATAAATATTTACTCTGGAAAAACTCGAAAAAAAACGTTGAATGGTCTGAAAAATTGAGCTCAAACTTATACCAAGAAGTATACAAATTTCCGAAAAATATTGCCAGTCCCACCCATCATATAAAAAGCTCACTGGAGTTCCTGACTATGACAGAACTGACTTATAAACCAAAACACAAAAAAAATGATATTTTTGATTTTCTTGTTATTATATGGCTTTCGTGAGAGATTTATTTAGGTCATATGGATAATATAAAGTTTCACTGTGATATTATATATAAACAAGGCATCTGGCTAGAAACATCAATTGTTAAACTTGACGAACAAATACTAAACATTATTATTTAAACACGCAATACAAATAAGATATTACAGCTATATGATGCAACATCGGCAAAAAACTTAGATGTCAATTAAATATTACAATGAAATGATGACACACCGGTAAGTGCATATAGTTAGGTCATATTCTTTTCATAATCAATAATTACCGTATAATTAAAAATATCGTTTGCGTTCTTCAATCTCACTTCTAAAGGCCAAGGAGACAGTGAAACCAGCAATTACATATAAACATTTCTTTAATTTCAAGTTAAACTTGCAAATAACCAGTGAAATGTGTCTCGGAGTCTCGTAAGCACTTTTAGTAAAGAGAGTAACTTATTTGTTCTAGCTGACTTTAACAGAGAGTTATATAACAGAGTATATGCATGGATCTTAATGAACATTCGTGCTATTTTTGCATATTTGCTATTTATCAATACTATTCATAACTATGACACAGCAGTAATGATATTGAGTTATTTTATATTCATATGACCTTTAACCTTAATACTCATTTCTGTAAATTTCCACTGACCACGTTGTGCCTGTAGAATGTTATATCTTGGGAGATTTCCCGCCAATGCATCAGTCCAGATAATAAAACTGACTAGAACACACCTGTGTCTTTTCTCTTATTATATTCACATTTGTGAATCGCATGGACCAACTTTAATAGTATATAAGATATACAAAGAATATTACATGGTGTCAGAATTTATAGTTGGAATTATAAGATAACAAAATATGGAATTAACAGGACTTTCTGTGCCAGTTATAAACTGGGAAGCGTCAAATCTTCCTGAACAATGGATTAAATTCCAAAGGCATGTGGAACTGATGTTTACAGGGCCGCTCAAGAACAAAACTAAGAAAGAAAAAATATCATATTTGTTGATATGGGTCGGTGACAAGGGCAGGGACATTCACGCTACATGGGAACCCTTCACTGGCGATGATGCTGAAAATCTTCAGAGTTATTATGATAAGTTCAAGGCACATGTGCAGCCGTCCTTGAACCCGATATTTGCGAGGTACAAGTTTAACAATGAAGTGCAAGGCACTGACAGTATCGATGCCTTCATCACAAGACTAAGACTAAGTGCAGCAGATTGCAGCTTTAAAGACAAGGACGAAATGATCAGAGACAGAATTGTTTTTGGGACAAATTCTGGAAAAGTACGAGAGAAGTTGATAAACAAAGGCGAGGGATTAACACTCGAAAATGCTATTCAAATCGCACAAGCACACGAATATGCACAGAAACAACTTCAATCAATGGCATCAGCTAATGATGTACACCTGGTTAAGCAGCACAAATCAAAACATAAAGGATACAAGAACCAACCATTTCAGCAACCTAAACAACAACAACAACAACAACACAGAAATTATCATAACATTCAAAAACAAGATGGAAGAAAACCACTGAAATGTCAACGATGTGGACAGAACACTCATAGACCAGGGTCAAAATGTCCAGCTGAACATTCAACGTGTTACGCATGTGGAATGCAAAATCATTTTGCAAGCGTTTGCAGATCTAGAAATAAAAACGTTGACAATGTGAAGTATTCTGAATACAATTATAGTGACAACGTTCAATCGGAAAATCAGGATTATTACGTTGATATGGTAAAATTTTCAATCTTCTACTCCTGATCGTGCCTTTGTTCCAATTAATGTCGGTCCTTCCCATATTCCTGTTTAAATTTAAAGATAGATACTGGGAGCGCGGTAGATATTCTACCATTGAGCCATTATGAGAAATTAAAGATAAAACGACCTCTTGAAATCGCAGAAAATAGATTAACATCGTACACAGGCAACATGTTACCTGTATGCGGAATAATAAATCTGCAATTGCGCTACAACAACAAGACTAGCGAGTCATTATGTTATGTTGTTGATAGTCCGACAGTCCCGCTGCTAAGTTTACAATCGTCTGTAAACTTAGGCCTGATAAAGCTCACATATTCAATAGACAGGTCAAATACAGAATTAGATAAACAAAGGGTCATGTCAGAGTATGGGAACTTATTCCAAGGTGTAGGGGTTATCCCAGGTGAATGTAAACTTCACATTAAGAGTGATGCTGTTCCTGTAATAAACGCACCTAGGCGAGTGCCGGAAGCTTTAAGGGACAGGCTTCATGAAGAACTCCAGCGCATGGAGAATGATGGAATAATAACTAAGGTCACTGAACCCACGGACTGGGTAAACTCCCTAGTCATTGTAGAAAAACCAAAGACAGGTAAACTCAGAGTTTGCCTTGATCCAAAAGCTTTAAATGAGGCTATAAGGCGACCTCACTACCCAATGCGTACTATTGACGACGTTACATCAAGACTGACTGATGCAAAATACTTCAGCATTCTTGACATTACACACGCATACTGGAGCATCAAACTTGATGAACAGTCTTCATTATTAACAACCTTCAGCACGGTATTCGGCAGATACCGTTGGTTAAGACTCCCATATGGCATATCTGCATCGAGTGACATATTCATGCAGAAAGTAGATGAAATTTTTGAAGGATTGCAGGGTCTAACAGCCATAGTAGATGACATTTTGATATATGGGAAGACACGTGAAGAACATGACGCAAACTTGCGTAACGCCCTTGAAAGAGCACATTCCAAGAGAGTAAAGTTCAATCCGGACAAATGTATAATCGGGGTAAATGAAGTCCCATTCTTTGGTCACCTTATAACATCAACAGGGTTAAAGCCAGATCCTAGTAAAATAGAGGCAATTATGAACCTCAAAATACCAGAAAATAGACAGCAACTTGAAAATGTTCTTGGTATGGCAAATTATCTGCAAAAATTCTCTCCAAACCTAGCAGAGGTCACAAGCCCCATGAGATCCCTACTAAAGAAAGATGTAGAATTTGTTTGGGATTTTTCCCAGACAGAAGGCATTTACGAAAATTGAAAAACATAATCACAAGTACCCTGTTCTTGCATACTTTGACCCGAAACAGAGTGTAACTCTTGAATCTGACTCTTCGATGCGTGGGGTCGGCTCAGCCATCATCCAAAATGGCCGCCCAGTTGCCTTCGCTTCTAGGACATTGACAGAGACTGAATCTAATTATGCTAACATAGAAAGAGAGATGTTAGCAATACTGTTTGGTTGCACGCGCTTCCATCAGTATGTATACGGTAGACGACATGTAATTGTACACTGCGACAACAAACCTATTAGCTCAATCATGTTGAAAAGTTTGTCTGCATGTCCACCGAGACTTCAAAGAATGCGGTTACAGTTATCAAAATATGACCTTGACGTACGCCACGTTCCTGGAAAACAAGTACCAATCAGTGACTTACTATCTAGACAACCGCTTCCAGAGACATTACAATTAGAGGGTCTCGACTTACATGTACATACAGTTGTTTGAAAGGGTTACACATAACCGATAACAGACTGGAATCAATCAGGCATGAAACTCAAAATGACACGAGCATGCAGATTCTGAAGAAAACTATTATTGACGGATGGCCAGTTTCACGTGCAGACTGTAAACAAGAAATAATTGAGTTCTGGAACCACAGGGACGAATTGTCGTCTGTAAATGACCTTATATTCAGAGGGCAGAGAATCGTCATACCTGTCTCTGCAAGAAAACAGGTGATTGAAATCAGTGCACCAAGGTCACATGGGTGTAGAAAAATGTTTACAAAGGGCTAAAGACGTAATGTTTTGGCCTGGTATGACAAAAGAAATCACAAATCATGTTTTAAAATGTGCTTTATGTCAAAAGTACAGGTATTTCCAAACGCAAAAGAACCATTAACTCCCCACGACGTGCCGGACCGACCCTTGGGCAAAACATTGCCGCTGATCTCTTCTCCTTTGACAGTAAGGACTACTTGCTGACTGTCGACTACTATAGTAAGATACTTTGAGGTAGATGCACTCTACCTAACACACAAAGCATTACTATAATTAGAAAGCTAAAAGTTCACTTAGCAAGGTATGGCATTTGTGACAAACTTGTCACTGATAATGGGCCACAATTCTCTTCTGAAATATTTTCAGATTTTTTGCAAAAGATAGGGGGTTTTTCCCACATAACATCCAGCCCACTCCACCCAAACAGTAATGGATTGGCCGAAAAAACAGTGTCGATTATTAAACGAATATTCAGGAAAGCTCAGGAGAGTAACCGAGATCCTTATCTCGCGATACTTGAGTACAGAAACACCCCTCTTGAATGTGGCTTCTCCCCAAATCAATTACTAATGGGTAGAAGAACTAAATCTATTCTACCTACCACAAATTCTCAGTTACAACCCAAAACAGTAAATTGTAAACAGGTACGCGAAAAGATGCAGAAAATAAAGCAGAAACAAAAAGTTGCTATGATAAAACATCAAAGCAACTACCCCTTCTTACACTTAATGAGTATGTCCGCATCAAGGTCAAAAAAAAACATGGGAACCAGCAAAAGTGATAAAAATTCACAATGACCGATCCTACTCTGTAATAACTCATGCAGGTGGCATTTACCGCAGAAATAGGCGAATGCTTAATAAAACTGAAGAAACTTTCCCAGAAATTCAGGAATTTTCCCCCAACATTTTGGCTAATAACCCTATCACTCCCTCAATTAATGGAAAAATTTCAGAATCACATGATGCTGACCACTCATTGACCTCCAATAAGCCCAGCCCAATTGACCACTATTATCACACACGATCAGGCAGGGAAGTGAAATTGAACAAACGATATTATAATGAGAACATGGTGAACAATTGAAAAAAAAAAAAAAAAAAAAGAAGAAAAAATACTGAGTGTTTACTAATAAGAAAACATCACAAACAAAAAAATAAACTATAAAGAAAAAAATATATAAGTGTGGAATATATATGGAATAAACACATACATTGTTTGATAAACATATATTTGTTTTATATAAACTGATTACTTAATTGATATTTTAACATGTGTTATTCTAACGTTATTTTTAAATTGAAACCATATTTCTTTATGATTTATTAACAAGTGGATACCATTCAGCTATGTATTTAAAAAGAGGGAAATGTAATGATATTGAGTTATTTTATATTCATATGACCTTTAACCTTAATACTCATTTCTGTAAATTTCCACTGACCACGTTGTGCCTGTAGAATGTTATATCTTGGGAGATTTCCCGCCAATGCATCAGTCCAGATAATAAAACTGACTAGAACACACCTGTGTCTTTTCTCTTATTATATTCACATTTGTGAATCGCATGGACCAACTTTAATAGTATATAAGATATACAAAGAATATTACAGCTGACTTTAACAGAGAGTTATATAACAGAGTATATGCATGGATCTTAATGAACATTCGTGCTATTTTTGCATATTTGCTATTTATCAATACTATTCATAACTATGACACAGCAGTAAACGAACCTTACAAGAACACTTTAGTTTGAATTTTAGTCACACTAACATTGTTACGGATATATCTTTTGATGAAGTGAACCTAAGGTACATTATATATTAAGCACTATCGGGCACCTTTGTTGGACCAACGACGTTTCGTAAGCTAGAAAGATAGCTACCACACATGAAATAATCCAAAGTCCCTGACAAGATTCGGGCCCTCAACTGCAGTCATATGACCATTAAATTAAACCTATATCTTCATACATGTATTATTATCATAGTTTTAACAAGTTCATTTTGTTGCTCGTTTGGACAACATTTTTCTTACATAATGGGAAATTATGAAAATCTTTGTACATGTATTACTCAGTCTTGTATATTTTATTTGGATTTATGTCATTTCAAAGGTCATATGACGGATTGACTTGAGTAATGTAAACCCTCGGCACTGAGTGGAAAGGGATTTTACGTCATTGACATTTATCGTCTGACCATAGAGCTGAGCCAAAATGTGAACATTATAACAGAAAAACGTTTCCATAATGATAAAATTTAAATGAGCCGCGTCATGACAAAACCAACATAATGGGTTTGCGACCAGCATGGATCCAGACCAGCCTGCGCAGCAGCGCAGTCTGATCATGATCCACGCTGTTTGCTATCAGTTTCTCTACTTGTTATCGGTTTGGACGCGAATAGCATTGATCCTGATCAGACTGCACGGATGCGCAGGCTGGTCTGAATCCATGCTGGTCGCAAACCCGTTATGTTGGTTTTGTCATGGCGCGGCTCAAATTGTTCTTTACATTTACAGGTATTTGACTACAGAAGTATAAGAGTTGGCACACCTTTAATTTTGGTGGTAAAGGGGATAAAACTTGGTCGTCATAAGCAAGTCAGCACTGTGCTAGTGGTGAATGCTGTCACAGACTGAGGTACTTACTGGGATATTAGATGCAGGGGAGATTACTGTGATATGCGTTGGAGTGGCAAAAAGAAAATGTGGTGCTTTAAACGAAACAACAAAAAGTATTGTTGATAAGGAAGGGTAGCTAAATACCAAGCTCAGAATATTTATGATCTCAAAAAAATGACTTTCTATGTTACTAAAAAGTTGTCATTTAAGTTGTAACAATTGCATATAAATTTTTTGATCATTACTAAACATGTTTAATTTTATAATTTAGAAAATGTACATTGTACATGTATTTAAGGTTTGGAAAATGTTAAAAGTTCTTAGATGTAAAAAATGTTCTTTTCCATGCAATATGAGTGTTGAAATTATACAAATATAGATTTGCAGAGCTAAAAGTTATAGTGAAATGTGGAAGGAATTGGTTTTTGGAAGACAATACCAAAACTTGAGGGTATAAATAGCTCAAAGCAGGGAGATAGATTTTATCTGTGCAATGAAAGTTGCAAGTGTTTGGGATTACTGGGTTGTCGTAAAGACCTAAATTTTTACATTTAGATGATCATTGATATGTACATACTCAAGTTAACCATTTCCCTGTTTATTTAGTGTAATAGACTTGAATTATGAATATACATTACCATTGTTATTTTAAGTTATCTTGATTTTGAAATGGCAGAATAGCCATTGCTAGTAAACAGTATTGTCCTGACTGCAAGTTGTATTATTGGTTTTATTTGCAAGAAAGGGTTGCTGATAGAGCCCAGAGAGTTAAAGTACTGTAGTGTTGTCAAATATAGAAGAAATCCATTTTACCTGAAGATACTGACTAGACTATTAAAGGGACTGAGGTTTAAAAGCCTAAAAACATAACATTTGAATTTCTTACATGAATGAGCTGGGGCACTTTAGACAGAAATATATGCAAAGATAGTTTAGAAATATACTTTGAAATAATTGAAAATCGTATTTATATGCTTTTCTTAGTCCGATTTGAGTGAAAAACGTTTAAACGCTTTTCATTTTGGGTCATTTATTTACAATGTGAATAATTATTCTGGAAAAACGAAGTGCGCGAATGATCTGAAATTTTGCACAAAGATTACATCAAATGGTACATTTATATGGATAAAAACATTTCAGTCCCATCATATCAAAAAAACCTCAGTGGAGTCCCTTTAATTAAAACACTTGAGAATTAACATGACATGTGAAATATTCAGCAAGTATTTGTTGGTACATTGTAGTTGTATTAGATCTGTTGTTTTTTGTGGGGTGGGGGATTTCTTTACTATAAAATTTGAATTAAAAAAAATAAAAATGTTAGCTATGAATTGAAATTAAAAAATATGTAACAAAATAGGTGTCATATTATAAATCCTTTTTCCTCTCTTTTTTTGTGTGAAATTGTCGTACATTTATACATGATTAATATTTTCAAGAATGTTCTTTTGATAAGCTGTGATATTTTTATTGAAAAAATAAAATAAAATAAAAAGATGAAAGTACTTTGCTTTTGTCATTTGCTTCAGAGTCAACTCCTTAGTGTGAATAGACAGTTGCCAGTTGTTAATCTGTGTCACATCAATTGACATCTACTTTTTCTGTTTAAAAACACTTGTCTTCTACCT